AATGTTTGGGGTCCAACTTGCTACCTTTATTTTTATAAACAGGCTTAATGTAACCAATTAGCCAACTGCCAGGAGTAATACCAGTGCGAAATATAACGTTAAATAATTTTTCGTATAATTCAATGAATAAACCAGCTGTCGAATTGATATATTCATTTATTATATGATCATCCCCAAATGCTTCATCATTTTTCAGGTTTTTAATGCCCTTAAGAATTTCGTCTTTTGAAATTCTCGTGTTTAAATTTTCATTTAGCCTGTCAACATCATTCGGGTTTAGAGTTGGAATATTTGCATGAAAGACCAATATTATGATGCATAGAATAGAGAGTGTCAGAGATAACAACCCATCCAAAGAGCAGAAAACAGCTTAAGTCCATTAATGGGTCTCAATCCTCCCCCTATACCTCTAGCCAATATGGAATAAACACACACATAGTAATGCGCACAGTAAAACTCAGTTTGAAATAAGTCCGAGTCCGATGTAAGAATAGGTAACAGAAGTAACAAAGCAAAATGACATTGATCATATAAAAAAGAAGATGTGGTATGATTGCCAATGAGACAACTCTCCACAAGAGACCAAATGACACAGAAATTAACAATTATAGGTCACCGTACGGCCTTCAACAATGAGCAAAGCCCATACCGCACAGTCAGCTATAAAAGGCCCCGAAATGACAATGTAAAACAATTCAAACGAGAAAACTAACGGCCTGATTTATGTACAAAAAATGAACGGAAAACAAATATGTAACACATAAACAAACGACAACCACTGAATTACAGGCTCCTGACTTGGGACAGGCACATAGATACAGAATGTGGCGGGGTTAAACATGTTAGCGGGATCCCAACCCTCCCCCTAACCTGGAACAGTGGTGTAACAGTACAACATAAGAACGAACTATAAAAATCAGTTGAAAGAGGCTTAACTCATCAGATGGATAAAAATACAAATACAAGTGGACGTGGCCGGGTATTGTACATCCAAACAACAAAAAGACACTAAGTACAGGTCTGAGAGTACTCGCAGTTACTGACAGCTAGTTCAAAGCCACTAACAACTAATAAAAAAAATCATGCATCTAAAACTAAGTTATCAATCCGTACACATCCAACATCCAATGGATTTAGTGTAAATACGTCATAAACAGTCAGAGAAAAACATGACCTTGTGCAATGCCAAGATACAGGTATCGACAGATTGTAGATCCATGAATGTGTATATGTATATAACAATAATATTTAGTTTGCTTTTAATTTACTGATAACAAAATCAATATTAGTACCAATAAAAACAATATTTAATGATCTAATTGTAGTGTTGAATTGGTAAACTTTTAGAATAAGATTATTTAAAGGATCGATAAGTTTACCTGGATCGTTTCTAAATTTCCGGGCACGGTAAACAATATTGCCGTAAAAATGAGGATGTGCAATCCCGTTTGAAATAAGTTTTCTACAGGTACAACCAAACTTCAAAACCAAATCTTTATAGCTGTGGAAGAATTTAGTAAAGGTTTTAAGTAATTTGTGGTAACGAAATCCCTGGCTTAATAAGTTACCAGTAATACATAGATTACGTTCGTTAAAATCAAAAACGTCACAACAGACACGGGCATAGCGAACGAGTTGTGAAATATAAACACCGTAAGATGGTGCCAAAGGAACATCACCATCCAAAAAGGGAAAATTAACAATAGGGAACGAAAAATAGTCCCTTTTGTCGTAAATTTTAGTGTGGAGTTTTTCCGTGTAAAACCGAAATATCTAAATCTAGGAAAGGACTGTTGTTACCGTTTAAGTTTGATTTATTTAAAGTAAGTTCCTTTGGGTAAATTTCGGCAGTATATTGAGAAAATTCTTGATTATTTAACGAAAAAATATCATCAAGATAACGGTAAGTGTTGTTGAATTTATCAATTAAATGCAATTTAGACGGGTCTTTACTGAGTTTGGTCATAAACAGTGATTCATAACAGTACAAAAACAAGTCTGCTATTAAAGGGGCGCAATTAGTGCCCATAGGAATACCTACAACCTGTCGATAAACTTTGCTGCCGAAACGTACATAAATATTTTCAATGAGAAAATTAACAGCTTCAATCATCTCATCACACCTCCAGTAAGTATATATATATATATATCTAGCATATTTACCTTTCTCACTAGAGAAGAAGGCTTTAAATGAGTTGCAGCAATTATATTTGTATTCAGATTTACCAAACGACCATTTAATTGAATAGTCAATTTTTTGTTTGATAAGATTGTGTGGAAGTGTAGTGTAAAGAGTAGAAAAGTCAAAACTGTCAACAGAATCAAAAGGACCATCAAAAGCACGTAATTTATCTAAAGCATCTAAAGAATTTTTTACACTCCAAAAATAGTTAATTCCATTATTTTTATATATTTTTTTACAATAGTTTATGATAAGCTCTTTGATAGTAGTTAAGGAACTTGTTAAAAGCACTGAAAGATTAGTTGTAGAACACTTACTAGAGGCCGAGATGAAACGATATTTTACTGGTTTTTTGTGTAGTTTAGGTAACCAATACATAGTAGGGACCTTCAAATGTCCAGAAGAAGCCTTAAGCTGTAATGTGGTTATGATATGTTTGTTAACTATATGACTCTCTGTGGGGCGCATGGACTTGAATGTAGATGAATTTAAAATTCTATTCTTAAGAACGTCCGTGTAGTATTTACGGCATACCACCACCACATTGTTGGCTGCTTTGTCGGCCGGTACAAACACAAACCGCTTTGAAAGTTCTTGAAGTTTATTTCTTATTCTGGAAATAGGCGTATCATGTACTCTATTATTTACTTCTAAATTATTTTCAAAATGTGATATTTTATTATCTACCACATTCATACATTTATTTAAACATGTTAAATAAGAATCAAGAGATTTTTTATCAGATTTTTCCCGTTTACACCAATTTTTACAAAACGAGGAAAGAGCATCTTTAGTGACCTGACGACACCGTTTCCAATCTATTTTAGATGGAGGATGATATTTTGGTCCTTTTTTCAAAAAGTTTTTAACCTCTCTGTCCTGGACGATACTGAGGTCCCCCGTAATAACATGGCCATAGGGAACATATCTAAACATGTATGCATATCTTTAAAAAAAAGTTCAGATTCCGATACTGTGTATGCTCATTTCAACAAAGATCAAATATAAATTTACTCATACAGTATAATTGTTTATCCTGGCGTCATTATTTGATATGTAGAGAAATTTTCCTCCTCATTTAATTTGTTAAAATTTTCGCTAGATATTATATACGAAAATGAACGCTTGTTGTTGCTTGCAGTGTCACAGTGTATTTTTCACATTTTTATTGTGCTACTTTCCAAACAAGTTCGAAGGTTTTTGTCCACTTATGTAAATATACATATCTAGGTTTATGTTTTGCTGCATCAGCCACATTTTCATATGCAAAAAAAAGAACTTTATAATTAAAGGATTAAAAGCATTCTTTAAGCTTAGTAAGATATTTACACCATATAAGCCAAGTATTACTTCACTACTCCATATATTTAATCATACAGTGAAGCCAGTAATATTGTATGGCTCAGAAATATGGGAAGGCTTCTTAAAAGAGTCAAATATTTATTTTGCAAATTTGCACTTGCGGTAAGTAGAAAAACCACCAATATTGGTGTTAGATCAGAGTTAGGTAGCTAATACCAACTCTGTACTATGTGCTATTTAACATGCTAAAATATTGGTATAGGCTGCAAAAATTTGAAAATGATAATACCATACTTAAGGCAGCTATTGATGAATCATGGAATATGTTTGAGAAAGGGAAAGAATCATAGGTGCATGGATGTATTTACCATATTATTATATTTTTTTTTTAAATATGAGTCATTTATTTAAAAGAGATCTTAAAATAACTAATAATTGCATATTGAATAAAATAGAATATTGTTAACATACAAAATTTATACATTTATGAACAGCAGAACTAAATAATGATAATAAACATAATGCTTAAGTTGGAAGTAAGCTTAGAACATACAGGAAGTTTAAGTGTTTCTTTCAGCTTGAAACATATCTGAGGTATGGCAATGAAAACCAGAGGAGAGTATTAAGTAAATTTAGACTTAGTGCACATAGCTTAAATATTGAAAAGGGAAGATATAAGAATCTGGATATTAAAGATAGAATATGTGATCTTTTCCTAATAAAGTAGAAGATGAGGTTCACTTTTTATTCGAGTGTCATTGTCTCCATAATGTGAGAACTTATGATGATTATTTGAATTTATTCAGCAAAACTGTAATGTAAAAACTTTTCTAATTTGTCCTCTGATAATAAAATAAGTTTGGTTGTTCATTAATGAATATAAAAATATTATATTGAAATTAAGTTGTATGTTGCAAACTTTATTTGATAATTTATTTTTTAAATTAGTAGTTAATGCTACTTTGGAGTAGGAGTTGTCCCCACTTCCACAGGTAGAGATGCCCAGAAACTAGACAATTATATTGTACTGTAATAGTAGTTAGTTACGTTGTTTCCCCACTCCCCCCCCCCCCCCCCCCCCCCCTTTCCATTCTATTAAATATTCAATTATAAAGATCACTTTTCTGGTTTATTTATAAATCTGTTTATTTAGTTATGTATGATTGTACTGCACCATGATTGGAAATAATAAAATATGTCTATGTCTGTACCTTTTCATGGCCATGACAATAATATTTTGTTTTCTTTGCTCTCCATATATTTCAAACGACATTTATCAAAGGTGAAATCTAGAGAAACCCGGTATAGTTTCCGCGAGGCCTTTTGGATGACCATTATTTTTTCTTTTCTTTTCAAAGACATGAAAAATATAACAAAGGGGTTTTAATATATTGACAAAGATAATTAAGTGATACTTTTAAATTTCTTTTACACAGTGGACTGAGTTTTTAGGTCATAATTGATCTCCACGTTCCCCATGTAAATATTGGTACCCCTGACTTAAAGAGGTCATTTCCAGAAAGAGGCATCGTTCAACATTCGGAGGGAAACACCAATGACTGGTTTACTGTTTATGCCAAAACAATACAAATTCTTCGAGAGAAATATCCGTACAATTTCAATGATTACAAGAATATGACAATGTTGAATCAAGCAGCAGTCGAGGCGCTGTGTTCAGCAACTTATTTAGAAAATTACCTCGACACGATGGACAACCTGCCTGACGACCTGCAACGCGTTGTGACACAAATGCGTGAATTGGATATCCAGTGTAAGGGTAAGCTTTCAATTCTATGTTTTTAAATGCTCTTTATAAATTTATTATGAATTTCAATTAAATCATATGTCTTCTCTGTATTTGAACAACGCGTAACTGTTATGGGATACCCTTTGAAATTCTGTAAGTACTTCCGGGTCACACTTCTAAAATTAGAACTAATGTGGTGTCAGGGAATCCCTTGCATTAATTTTTATCTGACTAACATTGGCATATGATGTAAGACTATGACAAAATATTTGAAAACCTTGTCTGTTTTCATTTTATCCTATAATGACATTTCCCTCACTGTGATCTTTTTCACACATTTAAAATCATCTGTATACACATTAAATTCAAAGATTTTTTAAGTAAGTCAATAAACCATTGATTGCAAATATTGCAACAAACAATTCATAAATATTCAAATTTTCATTAGAATCAAGCTCAAACTTTATATTAGGGTTGATCATGTTCAAGGGAGGGCACTGCACCCTGCTCCAAAAATTTTACTCCTTTGTGCCTTTTTCCAATTTGATAATAGTTTTTAAATTGATATTTATATTCCCCCCACTCCTCATTCATTTATCACATGTTTAGACAGCTAATTAAAGATTTCTCGAGTTAATTATAACATACATGAAGCTGTTAAGGGGGTACTTAAATTGATTTGGGTGAAATTTATGAACTTGCAAATACTTTGCAGAAAAAAATTTAGAATGATAATCTTTTTAGATATTCTTGCCGACATAGATGTCCACCACGAAACATACAAAACGGAACCTGAAAGTAGCCCAGCTAAACGAAAGGCCATGATAGCTATGCAGAGGGCATTAATCAAATGTCAGGAAATTGGTGATGAAAAATTAATGTTGCTAGCTTGTATTACGGATCATATTGAAAACAGAGCAAGACAGCTAGAGCAAGATAGAGAAAATCTTGGTAGGTTTCAATTGAGAAATATATTTGAAATTCAAAATATGTGCACATATACAAAATGGAAACACCTGATCTAAACTAAAGAGGCAGGATCGTTGGAGGCACATAAAAAGTTTGCATGTTTGTATATAATTTCTAAATTAAAAAAAAAACAAAATAACAAGCTAAGAAAACTAAACTTAGAATTAGAAAAAAAATACCTCACTTCTTGCATCTTTTGAAATGTTTAATATACCTTGTGTTGTTTGTTTGCTGTCTCATTGATTATTCTCCTCACCCCCCTTTTATTTATATTTGTGCTTTTTTCCAGACCCTAACTCAGGTAGAGATCAGGAGAAGGAGGAAAGAGAAGTAATAGTTCACCCACCTAAACAGGTTAAACAACAAGAGGATAAACCAGAAAAGGTACCAGTCAAGCGTCAGAGAAGACAAAAAACAAATAACGATTCTATAATCAGGGAAGATATAAGAATGGTATGTTTTTAAAAATTAATATTTACACTGTTGTACAAGTATATCAAGTTTTGTAGAAGATCTGTGTTATCATGTTTTGTCTACAAACTTTATTTTTAAACTGTAAAATATTAAAATTATCAGAATATTGTCACTTTTGAAGTTTACCAGAGTTATGCAAATATATTTTTATGCAATTTACTCATTTTACAATCATACAGCTCTACACTGTACATTTGAATAAGAGTTGTCTCCCCTTCACCAAGTAGAGACATAGCAATGTCTACATCATTACACAATATGATCTCATTATCAGTCATTTTAAATCATTATAGAAGCTTTTGTCATCTGTTAGGTTATGTATGCTTCAATTCATATCAACTGTAAAGATAAGAACTTGGTAAGAGTTCCATATGGCACACCCACCATACTATAAGAACTGAATCAAATTTTTATAAGTTTCAAAAGTAGAAAATCGAAGGGAAAAGAAAGTGAAGTACACCATTTTACATTAGAAGTACTTCATGAGAAATTTTTTATGACCTTTGCATTTATATTTTTTTATGCACCCGCCATAGAGGGGGCATTAAGTTATACCCTTGTCCGTATATCCAGAAATTGCTTTCCGTTCTCTAACTTTAGTTTGCCTCAACCAAATGTTAATGAAACTTGTACACAATGCTTATTACCACAAAACACATCAAGTTTGAATTTTCGTGGTGTCACTTATACTGTTTTAGAGTTCTGCCCTTTACAAATGGAAAAATTGCTGAATTTTTCGTTTCCGTTCTCTAACTTAAGTTTGCCTCAACCAAATGTTATGAAACTTGTACACAATGCTTATTACCACAAAACACAGATCAAATTTGAATTTTTTAAAAGTTGATTTCTATAGAAAAAAACTATACATAACTGAAAATTTTAAGTCCCCAGGAAATTTTAATTTTAATCTTTACCTTTTATAATGAACTGCAAACACTTCTCATGTTAATTATGCAGCATAAAATATGATTAACTGTTTGAATCGGACACTAGAATTTGGACGAATATTTAAACTTCTAGTCTTCTAGATATAAATTCAGTCTTTTTTTTGGATTATCTCCCTTTTGTGTCTTTTATTGATAACAACACTATTGTGAAATAAATTTAGATAGATTGTCACAAAAATTCATGTAACAGCCCTGATTTGATACAGTTATACATCATAAAGAGTAATGAATTAGTTAACTTTTGCTTCGGTAAAGCGGATCTTTAATATCAAGATTTTTGATACAACTTCTGCATTTCAAACTTAAAATAAGAATAAATTAAAAATGTCCTTCTTTATTTTCTGAAATATTATTAAACAAATATTCGTAAATTAATAGATGTTTATTAATATAAATCAATGAAACATATTTGAATGGAAAATTATACATGTGTTAGGGTAAATAGTCTTAACTTTTCTTCACTGTACCTGTATAATTCCTATATACTTTCACCTATTTAAAAAAAAAACATTTTCTATATTTAAACATGCATTGATTTATAATTGTATGCTAATTCCTTCACTTTCATGTTTAGGATGAAAAGGATAAAGGACCAAAAAAGAAAAAGAAGAGGAAGGCAAAGAAAGAACAAACACCAACATCCCCCATAGATCCACCTATTGATCCTGATGAACCTACGTACTGTCTGTGTAACCAAGTTTCTTACGGGGAAATGATTGGATGTGACAATGATAACTGTGTTATAGAATGGTTCCATTTTAACTGTGTAGGACTTGTGAATAAACCAAAAGGAAAATGGTTTTGTCCGAACTGTCGAGGCGAGACAAGTAAAATGATGAGACGATTTGACAAATCATAGTGCAATATTTGTTTTGAATTATTTTTATGATAAGCCACACAAATACAGGTTATAATTAATGGATTTTCTAAACTATGTTAGTTGATATTTTCTGAAAACTGTTTTGTAACGTTTTAGATGGTAAAAGAATGAAGGGTTCAGTAGTTAAGTGAAAAAATATTGAACTGTTGTACTGTAAAAGTTATGTATAATATGAAAACATACTGAAAGTCATCAAAAAGTATATCCATTGTACTGCTTATTTTAGTTCAAAAGGGATTATAGGTAGGTGCAAAAATAATGATAAGGGGTTAAGTATTTAAACTGAGTGATATTTTTTCCTTTTTGTACGTTCGCAAAAGATTTGTGTTCGTATAATGCTATCATGTCGGCAGCTGCGGCGTCATCATCGTCTGAAGACACATTTGGTTTCTGGACAATAACTTTAGTTTATGTGAATGGATCTCTATGAAATTTTACCAGAAGGTTCAATACCACAAAAGGAAGGTTGGGATTGATTTTGGGGGTTATGGTACCAACAGTTTAGGAATTAGGGGCCAAAAACAAGCATTTTTGTAGTTTCCTGACAATAACTTGTGTGTAAGTGTATGGATCTCTCTGAAATTGTACCACAAGGTTCCATATCACAAAGGGAAGGCTGGGATTGAGTTTGGGGGTAATTGCCTCAAATGTTCAGGAATTAGGGCCAAAAACAAGCATTTTTCTAGTTTCCAGACAATAACTTGTGTTTAAGTGTATGGATCTCTCTGAAATTGTACTACAAGGTTCCATACCACAAAGGGAACGCTGGGATTGATTTTGGGGGTAATTGCCCCAAACGTTTAGAAATTAGGGGCAAAAAAGGGACCAAAAACAAGCATTTTTCTAGTTTCCAGACAATAACTTGTGTTAAAGTTTATGAAATTGTACATATTTCCTGAAAAGAAAATAATCTTCAAAATTTTTAAAAAAATTTGGGGGAGGGGGATTTTTTTTCCAATTTTTTTTGGGGGGTTCATATTTTTTTTCTTCAAAATTTTTGAAAATTTCAAATTTTTCCAAAAAAAATTTTTTTTGGGGGGGGTCAAATTTTTTTGGGGGATTTTTTTTTCCCAAAAATTTTCCATATTTACATAGATTATTTCTGATTTATATATAAAAGCAACAAATACTGATATGGTAGGAGATACACACCAAACAGGGGGTGTAAATTATTATATAACGGATTAACTAAGTATTGTGCAACAGCACAGTATTGCGCAATAGCAAGAAATCTTCAATTGAAAATAAATACAAATCTTTTAACCAATTTCAATGGGATTAAATTAAGTCTTTAATTTTTAGGGGTTCTAACCTTGTATTACTATTTTGGATATTGGACCCCATTTTTAAATTGGTCTACATTGAGGTCCAAAGCGTCCAAAATTAAAGTTTGTTTAATTTCATCAAAAACTGAATTATTGCGGCTCTATGATATGCTGAATCTTATTGTGCATTTAGATTTTTATTTTGGGCCCTGTTTTCAAATTAGTACATATTAAGTTTTGAAGGGTCCAAAATTAAACTTTGTTTGATTTCAACTAAAATTAAATTATTGGTGTCTTTTTATATGCTGAATCTAACCATGTTGTTAGATTTTGGATATCAGACCATACTAGGTAAATTAAATGTCCCATTTCAAATTTTTAAGATCTTTGACCACAATTATTCTGTGTCAGAACCTAATTATGTCAAAAATTTGATCACAATCCAAATTCAGACAGTATCAAGCTTGAATATTGTGTCCAAACTTGCCCCAACTGTTCAGGGTTTGACCTCTGCGGTCGTATCAGGCTGCGCTCGGCTAAGCATTTTATTTTTAAATGGGACAGAAATTATCAAAGAAAAATTTGTCATTTTTTTTGTGATAAAATATGCAATTTCCTGGAAGCATATTAGGTACTACTTTTTGAATTTAATTTTGACCAAGGAAACTCAATGTGTAAGTTATCATTTATCATTAGAGAAAAATGAACCTTGCCTTTGATTTATTTTGTATTTGGGACATAACTCTTGACTACATGTATAAGGATAAATATCTGAGCAAATTTTAAACTTGCAATCATGTTTATGAAATATTTATTTTACATGTTCATGTTTACCAAAGACAAATAGAGGAAGCTAATATTGACAAAGAAAAAAAGTATATACGGTGTCAATTTAGCATACAATTTAATGAACAGAAATGATAATTTGCACATATAGTTTTTTGGCTACAACTGTGGTATAATAATAATCATACATTTGTGTTATAATGATGAATTTAATTTCATTTATGAGTTGTAAATACATGTATATAAAGTTTATGTATAAAGATCAAATCTCAGAAATATTTTTTTTATCTTATATATATATATATATAAGTGCCTATAAATAGCAGCACATGACATACAAATCTATGGGAGTGTGGATTAATCAGTACAGAGATTAATTCAATTACACAAATAAAATTATAGATTGCCTAACAATGTAATTTTAACACACTATTTAGTATGTAAATATAAGAATGTTTACAATATTTACAAAATGATGAAAATAAACGCAATATTTCGCTAGACTAACTAGCTTTATCAAGCGTGCATCTATCCAGGTGAAATCGGATGTAGATGATAAGAAACTTTTGCAGCTCAATGTATATGTTGCACTTGAATTTAGCTGCCTTGAAAATAATACATAATTTGGATGAAGTTCAAGATTTTTACAAAATTGGTAGTTGAAGTTAGCAACGTCCATTGGCCAATATTACAGGATAAAAAGGACGATGCTGTGTACTAAATTATTCTTTATCTTTCCTGTATCTTTTCTCATCTTTTTCGTTAAGACCATCAGGTTCTAAAGTGTGGAGTTGGTGGATCCAAAAATTTTCTCTTCTCCTTCTCGCCGTGGTGTCCCACTCGGTGTTGACTTCTATAATTTGGAAGGTAACATTATCAAAAGAATGTTTCGTTGAACGAAGATGTCTTGTGAGAGGACAGTTTTTGTTGGTTTTGTACCATGAACGATGGTTATTGAGCCGAATATTAAATTTGTCCATTGTTTCTCCCACATACTGAATGCCACATGTGTCACATGTTAATATATAGATTGAGTTCTCCGTTTTACAGTTGGAATTTGAGTAGATGGTATAATTTTGTTTAGTAACGGAGCTGATGAAAGAACTGCTTGTATCGGCAGCTTTACAACAAAAAGTATTTGGCCCCAAAAAAGTGGAAGATTATCTAGGTCATCTGTGAGACACATATAGTACATAGTGAAAGAACTACCCTCTTACATTCAAGATACGACTGATTATCTAAAGAAAATGGAAAGCCTCAATCCTCTACCAAGCAATACTATACTTGCATCCATGGACGTGTCTTCTTTATATACCAACATTTCACAAGACGAAGGAATAGCAGCGTGTGAAGAGGTATGGAACACTCGTAGTGAAAAAAATCCTCCAACTGAGTGCCTTGTTACACTTCTGAAACTCGTGCTAGAGAACAACAACTTCTCTTTCAATGAAAAACATTATCTCCAGATAGACGGTACTAGTATGGGCACAAAAATGGCCCCGTCATATGCCAACATATTTATGGGCCAACTTGAAAAACGCCTCTAGGCTAGTGCTCCATACCAGCCCTTATCATGGTTCCGATTCATTGACGATATTGATTTCAAATGGACAGATTCACAAGAACATCTTAATGAATTTCTAGGACACTGTAACTCTTTCCACCATTCAATAAAATTTACATATGAATCATCTATGGAGAAAATAAACTTCCTCGACACTACGAGTTACATCAAGAACGGAACCATTATAACGGACCTTCATACCAAACAAACGGATAAACATCAATTCCATTTTCCTAAAAGTTGCCATCCTAAACACTGCTCGCGTGGCATCCCATTCAGCCAGGCATTGCGAATCAAGAGAATATGCTCTACTGAAAATACGCAAAATGCTAGACTTGGACAACTACGTAAACATCTAGTTGTTCGAGGATACAATAACATCATTGATAGCGCTTTCGAAAGAGCAAACAAAACTAGTCGCCAAGAACTTCTAGAGTACAAAGATAAGAATAAAGCAGCTAACAGAACACCCCTTGTACTCACTTACCATCCTGATTTTAAAAATGTGTCTTCCATTGTTCAGAAGCATTGGAAAATTATAGAAAATGATTCAAATCTTAAAAAAGTATTTTCCTCACCACCAGTCATGGCCTTCAGAAGACCTAAAAACATCCGTGACATTAGTGACATCTGTATTAGCAAAGCAGCCTACTCCATCTCCCGGTTGCTACAAACAATGTGGTCGAAGGAACTGCTTGTGTTGTAAAGCTGCCAATACAAGCAGTTCTTTCATCAGCTCCGTTACTAAACAAAATTATACCATCTACTCAAATTCCAACTGTAAAACGGAGAACTCAATCTATATATTAACATGTGACACATGTGGCATTCAGTATGTGGGAGAAACAATGGACAAATTTAATATTCGGCTCAATAACCATCGTTCATGGTACAAAACCAACAAAAACTGTCCTCTCACAAGACATCTTCGTTCAACGAAACATTCTTTTGATAATGTTACCTTCCAAATCATAGAAGTCAACACCGAGTGGGACACCACGGTGAGAAGGAGAAGAGAACATTTTTGGATCCACCAACTCCACACTTTAGAACCTGATGGTCTTAACGAAAAAGATGAGAAAAGATACAGGAAAGATAAAGAATAATTTAGTACACAGCATCGTCCTTTTTATCCTGTAATATTGGCCAATGGACGTTGCTAACTTCAACTACCAATTTTGTAAAAATCTTGAACTTCATCCAAATTATGTATTATTTTCAAGGCAGCTAAATTCAAGTGCAACATATACATTGAGCTGCAAAAGTTTCTTATCATCTACATCCGATTTCACCTGGATAGATGCACGCTTGATAAAGCTAGTTAGTCTAGCGAAATATTGCGTTTATTTTCATCATTTTGTAAATATTTTAAACATTCTTATATTTACATACTAAATAGTGTGTTAAAATTACATTGTTAGGCAATCTATATATATATATATGTAAATAATATTAACAGATTACAAAACAAATGAAAAGATCACACTTGTATACATTGTAGGTACTTGTTATTGATACTTGCATATACTTTATAATAGTAATGAGGGGGCCTTGGTGGCCGAGTGGTCTAAGTAGTTGAACTAGCCTGTCAACACTGAGGTTATGAGTTGGAACATGCCCCACTCACACTATCACATTTCCATCTCATACTGCACCTTCATGTCCATTTGAGGCATCCATCGTGTTGCACCTGACAAGTAAAAAGTATCTGGCCCCAAAAAAGTGGAAGATTATCTAGGTCATCTGTGAGACACATATAGTACATAAAGTTCAACCAATTTAAATCATGATGGTGTCCTTGGAATTTTTGATGAATTGTAGTCTTTGTAGTGTTCTATGCAGCATTTATTTCGATTTGGAATGAACATATAAAACTTCTTTTCACTCATTATTCTCAATTCATCATGCATTGCAGAAGTTTAGTTCAGTGAGTTTTATTTTCCAATGAAAAAAAGGAGCTAATATAAACAGTATCTATATATTTGTTAGATTTAGAAAAATCATAAACATGGTGAACTTAATAATATTTCCGTTTCTACATGCAACATGTTCGATCATAATGATCTTATTATTTGTTCAGTACATTTTATCAAGTTATTTCAAATAGGTAAAATGCTTATTTTGTGGAAAGAGGTACACTGAATTAATTTCATTGTCCGCTGATTCGTTGAGGACTGTTGGAAATGTTATGAATTTTGGTTCTTTTTGGTCCTTTTGTATCTTCCTTGTCTTAAATATCTGTCAGTTAAATTTTGTATTCTTTCTATTTTAGTATATATTGCAAAACGATTAAAACCAAATATGAATCAAAAATAAGGGAGAGAAAAAGAAATAAGCAACTTAATCGCTTAATAAAAAAAAAAACCTTACCACCTTCAAATTATTCAAAATAAACCTCTTCAAATAACCTGCATTTGGAATTAGATATGAAGATTGAAGCTTCAGTCTGTTATTTGTTTGGTAATGATCTTGTATATTTAGATAGTCAATTTATTTCACATATTTCGTTGGAAGATGATAAGGAAAGTTCCAAAGAAGACACTGTCATTGGTTATTGTGAGATAGATCAGAATGATGACAAAAGTATTAATGTAGAGCAGGATATTGACAATTTGGAATCTTACGATATATTGTACATCCAACATTCATGTATTCATTTTTGATGTTTCTGTTATGGTTTCGGTTGGATAATCTGTTATGTCTTATCGTTTGCAGTCCAAAATATTATAAAATTGCCTTTCCATAACATCATTGTCATGAAAATTGATTGGACGAGTATTGTGAAAATATTGTATAAAGTTGGAGATTTCATGTTAGTTTCGTAAGCGCGTCACTGTTTTTGATATCCTGTTGTGTTTTTCGTTGATGGAGTATGTTCGTTGTTGTTCTGCAATTTGCATGTTGTGTCGACTATTATATTATTTGTTTGTGCGTTTCTCTGTGATGAATGGTCTTGCGAGTGTTTGTGCTGTATTTCTGTCACGTAATGTTGTCATTTTAGCGATATTTTTATGCCCCCGCCGTAGCGGAGGGAGCATTAAGTTTTACCCTTCTCCATCTGTATGTCTGTCCGTCCGTCCGTCCGTCCGTACGTCCACAAATTGGTTTCCTTTCTCTAACTTTAGTTTGCCTCAACCAAATGTTATGAAACTTATACACAATGCTTATTACCACAAAACACAGATCAAGTTTGCATTTAGGTGGCGTCACTTTTACTGTTCAATAGTTATGCCCCTTTACAAATGGAAAAATTGCTGAATTTTTCGTTTCTGTTCTCTAACTTAAGTTTGCCCCCAACCAAATGTTATGAAACTTATACACAATGCTTATTACCACAAAATTCAGATCAAGTATGAATTTGGGTAGCGTCACTTTTACTGTTCTTGAGTTATGTCCCTTTATAACGTTATATGCAAGCGGGGGCATCATCTGTGTCCCATGGACACAATCTCCATTTATTTTACATTGTCATAAAGGATCATAAAGTGGGAGGTTTGGCTAGCCATTAAACCAGGTTCAACCCACTATTTTTTCTTAAAATGTTCTGTACAAAGTCAGGAATATGGCAGTTGTTATCAAATAGTTCGTGTCTATGTATGTTGGCGTTTGTTTTTGTTACACTTCAGTGTTCCTGTTGTTCCTTTGTTTTCCTCTTATAGTTGATGTGTTTCCCTCGGTTTTAGTTTGTAACCCGGATTTGTTTTCTCTCAAT